CAGAGTTTCTCTTTTGATGCTGTAACCCAACAGGACTTTTCCAGCTTCCACACACTCTGTCACACACAGTGCTAAAAACACAGTTATTACAAGAAAGCATGTGGAAAAACAGCTGATCGTAGCCATGGCACACTGTTAAAATAAACACACTTTATCAGCTATTATCATGGTTTCTACCATTCTGAGCACGGACCCATGAGGCAGCCTTCACAGCCAGAAGCTCTTGAAGCCATGAAGCCGGATCAGATCCAGAATGGTGGCCCACACATCACCGGTAGCGTAAATCAACAAATTAAAGGAAATTAAATTAAACAGAAAAAACACAAAAACATCAGAAAGCTGCATACATTTATCACAGACATGAACGTCGTGATAGTTTGCGACCTTTTATGATTTGTTTGCACATTTCTTTTTCGAGGATCAAATGAATGTACAGCAGACATCAAGAATTTCATGGATAAGCTTCAATTTATCTTCGATTTTGTCCAATCTAATAACAATAATTGTTATGAGGGCTTCTATATCAACTCCAGAACACGGTAACTTATTTACTAAGATGCGTGTGAAAATGTCCTGATTAGACCTCAAAAGGTCCTCGAGGGTTATATTAACTGGAGCAGAACTGAATTTGAATTTAAGTGTCACGGCTAATGGAAAGTATGGACTCAAGCGCAGAGCTCTGGATACAAAGCAGACAGTGCGTTTATTTACAGTGCTCAAATACAGTCTTAAACAAAGAAGGGCGATTGTCCAAAGGTGATTTTCTCCCAATTCCCGAAGGTGGTGCACATGAGTTAGTGATGTGCGATACCACTGATTTCCTTTCTGATCCGATACCAAGTAATATTCAGGGTGGTATCAATGATACTGATCCGATACCGATACTTTGTACAAAAACTTATTTTATTTATTGAGTCTCAAATTATAGCGTCATAATGATTACAGGACATCAGATTACTTGTTCTTATCACTTAATAATGCAGAGTTCATCATATAGAAATTAAAAAAAAACTGAAGTTGTGCGCTATTTGAACACCTTTCCTGCCTACAGCACTAAAGGACTCCGGGAGAGACGTCTGTCTCGCCCTAGCAGCACCTGTCCCTCTCCTCCTCTTCAGTTCACCTCAACATACGCTCGTCATATTCTGTGATATGATTTACTCTGAGGTGTTTGACAAGGTTAGTGATGTTGCCACAACCATACATGCCAACCCTCCCGATTTTTCCGGGAGAATACCGAATTTCAGTGCCCCTCCCGAAAATCTCCCAGAGCCACCATTCTCCCGAATTTTTCCCGATTTTCCACCCGGACAACAAAATTGAAAAACCATATTGCAGAATTCATAGCGCGGCCCAGCCAATTCCAGTTTCCAACAATGACGGCAGCTACTTAGTTTTAATATTACTCTTATTTCTCTTTCTGGGTCGCAAAAAAACTTCTAACATATTTTCAGGTGAGAATGTAGCTGTGTAAACTTCAAATATCTGAGCCGACCGACACATCGTTTTCAAACCCCCGCGGTCTTTCGCTACTCGGGTTAAACATAATATATAAGTCACTTTGATAACTTAAAAATGTTATTGTTTGGCTTTTTCAGTGTTTTATTTGTTCATGATTAAATCGGTTTGGCTGAGATTAAAGTTATTAGATTAGATTAAATTAAATTTAACTTTATTAAGGTTCCTCCAGGGTTTTCACACAGCTGAATAAACGTCAAACAATAATTAAACAGAAGAGTTTACGTCAGTGCCTGGTTATATATTAGATAGCCAGCAGTGGTGTGCGATACTGCATATTTTGGTATCGATCCGATACCAAGTAAATGCGGGCCAGTATCGCCGATATCAATACCGATACCGATACTTTTCAATAAATAAGGTGGATACGTCATTGAA